TTGGCCGTTAGAACCAATTTGGCTATTAATAAAACATTTAGATGATGAACCCTGGGCATTGTATTACTGGAATTTAAAATTTTTCTACAGGAATATTAGGAAAACATAAAGGCACCTAAAATACATTTACATATTGATCTTTGCTATTTATTACCCACAGATTCTCTCTGTTTTGTATTAGAATCAAATTGATTAGAAGCAATTTCCAGGTTTCTTAATTCATTAATTCATTCCTTCTGATTTCTAAGCTACTGTAATGAAAATAGATACCTGACTTTTGAAAATTCTAAGGAGGAAACTTTTTTTTTCACATCTGTTCTCAGTAACTCAGTCTCTAGCTTTCCTAATACAGAAAGGCATTATTATGACTATGTTACAGCTTTGTAGTTGCAATTCTGTTTTAGATTAATGCCGTGGTAAACAGTAGAAAACACTTCTATTTTTATAATAGAAATGTTAAAAGGTATTTTTTAACCTATTCTGTGAGCACTGACACCTTTTTTTGTTTCTTGATATGCATTCTCTGTAGTCTTCTCAAAGTACCTATGATTATTTTGATTTTTTGGTACTCTTATTTGGATCTGCTGCCTTAAATCATCAAAAGTTAAATAGAACGCAGTATTTGAGCATAGTGAATATTCAGTGGCCATCTTGTTTCCACAGCACACATCTTATTTAGACTGTTCCTGTTCACTGTTACTGGCATACACTTTTAACTCAAAGGCACTGACCAATTTAGCTCAAGTTTCAGTACACGTCCTTGAGCCTGCCCTGCTAAGATCATGGAAAGTTTGTTTTGTATTCATCGTAAGTCACTGATGTTCTTTATATGTCTTTTACTAAAATTACGGTAGTTTGGAATTTGAATCTCTTGTTGGACACCTCTGATTCAGTGGTGATTGATTTTAAATAATTTTCATTATATTTAAAATTTCTAAATGTTTGTAAACGTTTGGTTTCTCGTGCTTTAACACCTGAGTTAGAACATAGTGATAGAAGCATGACAATAAGCAATACTTGGAAAATGTATTTATGTAAATAAATATTTATTGCATTTTTATGTGTGGGTATATGTGTGTGTAGTAGCTTCCTTTGATTTTACTTTATATTGTATGTTTAACAGTCTCTATACATTTTCTGGAGAACAGAATGTCATTTTCAGTTGAGAGGACACGAACTCATTTCATTAAATATTATTGTAAAAGATAATTAACCTTGTTCTCCTGTTTTAAGATTTGGTAGTTATAGACGAAGATATTTAGGATCAAGATAATCCAGCAAGGTTGTGGATTTTTTAAAAACCTTGAAAATGTGATGTCTCTAATAATCGTGAGGTATGCCAATCATGTTAGAGTTTCATTGCCTCTACTTGGGTGGTTGACAAAGATTCTAAAGTGTCCAAAATATTTGTCTGGTCTTGTGGATAGAGACTATTTTGGCAAATGTTTGTTACTTTCTTTGTCTTGTGAGAGTAACAAAATATACCACTGGTTATCCTAGTATCAAACCACTAATGGCCCAGTCTTCATTTTATGAATTTAATGATTCAGCCACTTAAAGGAATGACCAGTTCATGGGGTTTGCAAGAGTTTATGATTGCAGGGAAGAGAGTAACATTGACCTTTCTTTCCTCTCCTTCCCCTCAGGATTACACTTACATAAGTATTATAATGGACAAGAGGGTAAACTTTGGGACCGGACTGCATGAGTTCAGATCCCAGCTCTACCACTTACTGCCTGGTTTACCTTAGGTTTACTTTGCCACTCTGATCCTTAGGTTCTTCTTCTGAAAAGTTCGACATCCTTCACTTTAAATATTTATCTCAATTACCTTTCTTTGATTATATGAGTCTTAAATTATCACATGTACCATGAAAATATGTGCAACTCTTATGTATCAATAAGAAAATTTAAAAAATAAAGGAATAAAGTATTTCATAGGGATATTTTTAATATGAAATGAGTTATTTGGTTCAGCACTTGGTACTTGTCACACTACTTATTTGATTATTTAATAATTTGGAAGAAATGCAGCATCTTTCTAAAAGAAAAAAAAAAAAAACTTGTAGTGGGATTTTCTTGACTTTTTTCTGCAATCCAGCAAGTATCTTGATACCACCAGTATTTGTGTCACTGGGACTGAGGTACTTTTCTCATCTTTCCAGTTTTTGAAGGGCCAACTCTGCAACCCCTAGTTAGACAGAAGCCCCAGACTTGATTATAAATTGGATCTTTTTTTCAACTGCAATTTTCTTGGTCCTTTAGAATTTTTGCAGCCAAACCAGATAGCCTTTCAAAAAGAACATGTTCATTGAATAGAGATATTCTGTAGAGTAACTCCCGTTTCTGGAATATGTCCACAGAAGAGATAAATCTGCTATAGCACAAGTGACGTGCACCACCTCAGACAGAACATAAACATAAGGGTTCTATCCCTGGGTGTGCACCCGCCTCCCCACACTGGAAGCTTGATTTCTGCTTGCTTGCTTCTCGGAACATCGCATGGAAGGGAGTCCAGGCCGAAAGAGGTTTGCACACCCTTTTAGCAGTACCTTATGCTCTAGAATTGTATGCAGTTAACATTGCACCAAGTCACCCGTGAAACTGAAAAAAAATTCTGGGCTTTCAGGAGTTAGCGCATGGCTAGGGCATCTTTTTTTTTTTTTTTTTTAAGTTCCCTGGAAGATTATTTTACCTCTGGCCTGTGAACTGACTTTTAGAACCACAGGTCTAAACTTTTTCTGACTCTGAGCTAAAAAGTAAGCATCCTGTGGTTTTGAGTTTTGCCACAGGCACACTGTTGATACTGAGTTGGAGCTGCTAAATGTGTTGCTTGACCCTGGGAAACTGAGGCTTTGAATGTCTTAACCCCAGGGAATAACTGATTTGAGAAACATGGGTTGTAGGCCAGGCCCATCAGGGATCTAATGGGACCCAAGGGAACCCTGATATTGTGTGGGATTGAGCAGGGAGGCTGATGCCCTTCTCCAGTCTACTATTTACTTATTAATTTGTTTGTTCAGCAGTCATTTAAATGATTACAGATCAAATGCATTTTGCTGGGCACAAGGGATCCAAAGACTATAGTGGAAAGAGTACAGGTTTTAGATTCTGCCAGATGTTGGTTTGAATCACTGCTGAGCTATGTGATTTTGTGCTATTTACTTAACTATCCGAAGCCTATTTCCTCATCGGCAAAATGGAAATAATGCTTGCTTTGCGAATTGCCATAAGGATGAGAAATAACACAAGGCACCTTACATAGTACTGTAGTTTACTTAGCATTTGTGTGCCAGGTATAATATGTGAAATTTTATACATATTCTCCTTCATTCTTTATAGAAATGCTGAAGCGGGCACCATTGCTACTACCAGTTTATAAATGAGGGAACTAAGGTTTAGAAAAAGTGTCTAGTCTAAGATTTCTAGTTTCTCAGTGGCATAACTCTGCTTTGAATCTGGGGCTGACTCCCCAAACTCATGTTCTTAACCTTGTATTCTAGATGCCTGCCAAGGCTAGTATCATGTTATATTCTGCTACTTCTCCAGGTTAGGCCTGGGAGTGATTCATCCAAGAGCTGTTCAGGCATCCATGGCTCTGTGGCAACTAAAGCATGTTGAATTCCTCTCTTGGGAATATGCCATTGGGACAAAAGAGGACTGAGGCTATTATAACAGGGAGGTAAGCCGAAAAGTCACAGGGCGTATCAGGGATAGAGTGTAGCCTACATAGACCATGTACAAAGCTGAAGTTGAGGCCAGAAGCCATGAGGGGACCCTGGGAAGGAAAGGAGAGTTCATTTTATAGTAGATGTCAAAGACCCTGTGGCTTTGGTTCCTGACCACTTTCAATGTTTAGATGTAACTCTTATAGCTTTGCTCCAACTCTGAGTTGACATGAGTCAAATATCTGTAGTTTGATGGAAAGTCTAATGAGGATGCTATGGTACATTAAATTGTAGCTATTTTTTAATTAAAATAATTAAAAAATAAAGATGGGATCTCCTTATGTTGTCCAGGCTGGTCTTGAACTCCTGGCCTCAAGTGATCCTCCCACCTTGGCCTTGCAAAGTGCTGGGATTATAGGCATGAGCCACTGCACCCAACCTATTTTTAAATATTTACAAACTAGTAGCCATGATACACAGCCAAACAAAATTGCAATCGAAGGTGGTAAATATGAGAATGAGGGCAGTTCAAAGTGCTACAGGGCAGGGAATGTATTTATGATCCTTGGTGGAGCATACATTCCCTCATGTTATCCTGTGTTGACTGTGTTCATGTAAAACCTGCCACTTAGCTGAGTTTTGACTTGGACCAATAACCTATGCCCTTTTCTTTAAGAGATAGGGTATTGCTTTGTCACCCAGGCTGGAGTACAGTGGCATGATCATAGCTCACTGCAGCCTCAAAATCCTGGGCTCAAGCAATCATCCTGCCTTAGGGTCCTGCGTAGCTAGGACTAGAGGTGTGCACCATACGCAGTCTCATTATCTTATATAGCCACCATGTATAAACCACTATTTTCTTTTCACTTGTGTGTTTTCAAGTTCCATAGAAATTGTGCTGAATCCAAATTAAACGAATGCTTGCCATATGATGACAGTTCTACATGTCATTTCTTGGGCTACTACTTTTTGTTTTTCATTTAGTTAATGGTTATTGATTTAAGACCAAGAGGAAGGTATTACATTTTCTTGTTCTAATGGAATTATCTTAAAAGGTACCTTCCCTTATAGTATGAAGTCAGCCATGGAGGAACTTAATTCTTTTCTGGTTATCCCATCCCTCCTAATCAAATGAAAACAGTTGAATCATTTTCTCTGCAAACCTGATGTTTTTTCTTATTTTAGGAGTGCCAAATGAGCCTGATATTTATCTGCATTTATTTTGAGTAAATTTAAGGCAGGCAGCTGTATAACATTCTGGCATCACAGTTTGAGTCCTTACTGATTCCCCCCACACCATTCAATTAAATGAAAATGCAAAAAAAGCACTTGCAGGGCCTGGTACAAAGTAGGAATGTTCATCATCTCACCTTACTTTAGGAAACTTGGTAGAATGCATCTTGCTAAAATGTAAGAAAAGGAATAAGCAATGAATCAATGCAGTATAAATTTATAGGAAATGTAAGTCACATATAAGTTGTTATTTATGCAGAATTTATCAGTTCATACAGAGTTTCATAGTTAGGATGAGGTCAACGACTTTTTTTGTGTAACTCTGTCAGGGTAATATTGTCTTCAGTGCTTCTCTGTCTTCCTTGCAGAATGACTCTATAACTTGAAAAATGACTCTCTATTCTTATCCAGTGACCTTTAGAGTTGGGAAAGTATATAAGAGAGTAGCATAACTAGGCTTGGAACACAGGCTTTTCCTTCTAATTAGCTGTAGGAGCATGGGTAGGTCACTCTAGATCTTCTGTGCTTCAGATGCTTCATATCTAAACCACCTTGCAGAGTGGACTACAGCAGGGCATAGCAAATACCTAGTATATTTGCTGTCTTTCCACCCTCAACAGTGCATCCAGCTCATTGTGGTGCTGGTAGGTCAACTTGTCAGGAATCACCACCAAACAATCAGCTTTCATCCTTGATGTCAAATCTATGTGATACTGTCAAATCTTTGTGACTTTCTGCATCGGAAGATAGTCAAGATCATTTGCAGTTTTACAGCCTCTGTTCTTATAAATAAGGAATCCAAGATAAGAACCTGTTATTTGCAGGTAGCTTAACTTTCCATTAAGAAAGTGAAAACTGGCAGGGCACGGTGGCTTACACCTGAAATCCCAGCACTCTGGGAGGCTGAGGCAGGTAGATCACAATGTCAAGAGATTGAGATCATCCTGGCCAACATGGTAAAACTCTGTCTCTACTAAAAATACAAAAAAAATTAGCTGGGCATGGTGGTGCACACTTGTAGTCCCAGTTATTCGGGAGGCTTAGGTAGGAACCAAGATCGCATCACTACACTCCAGCCTAGTGACAGAGCAAGACTCCATATCAATCAATCAGTCAATCAATCAATAAATTAAAGAAGGAAAGAGACAACCAGAATTTGTGAATAAATGCTTTTCCCCTAAATCACTATTTGAATAGCAGACTTAACATCTTAATTTTCTTCTCTCATTAGTGCAAATATCTTTTTAATAGGGGTGCAATTAAATTTTTTCCTTGTGCAGCTCTTTGGTCTTGTTACTTAATCTTTGTTCCACTAAAGCGATTACCTATGGTTAGAAAGAAAGATAAAGCCTCCAATAGATGTTCAAAAAGGTATTTAAGAAATTAGAGCCCCAAAGTTGCCCTGTACGTTAAAACAAAACAAAACAAAAAAACCCCCATCTCTTCACCAGTACTCTTACAGTAAAAGTGAATTATTGCCCCCTTGTGGTAAAATAGTGCATTTAGTTTTTCACACAAATAGTAAAGTCTTGTTTTATAGTTTCTACTACTCGGAAAACTTTATCGTTTACAATTAACCTAAAGTATTTATGAAAATAATTTCAGATAATTTTAAAACAATCTCATTTGTGCTCACCTATGTGAAACACCATAGAATCCTGTCTTTGAACTGTTTTATGTTTCTCTTTGAGGAACTAGAGGTTTGAGAGTTTACGTTAAATCAACTAGAGTGAGCAACATTATAAGAAACAAGCTCAAATCTTATTCAGATTACCTTCTTATAGTCCTTATGCTTCAAGAGAGCTGAAAGAGATTTTGGAATATTCTTACTGCCCCTTTAAAAGTCATGTCATATACTTGAACAGTGATTTTCTTCAGAGCTGTAAAATGAGGAATTTTTGAAATACCATGTGCAGGAAACCTTAGTGGTAATATAGCTCATTAATAAAGGTTCAGGTGATCTTCAAGGTTAGCTTTTCTTCAATTTCCATCATTTTGAACATGAAATAACATTTCAGAACCAAATGGGACTTCCTGTCAACAAAATGAGTAACAGATCTGACTCCTAATAAAATGTCTTCTTTAAGAAGAATTCAAGTCTTAAAGACAAAAGAAGCCATTTCATACTATTATGTTTAGGCCAAAAATATGGTACATTTTCACAGATGAAAGAATAGTAACAGTTAGGCTTCCCATTTAAATTGGCTTATTGAATTAGTTTTACAAATTAGTGTAAACCTATGCAGGTAGTAAGTATTCTGAATCCTGATATTCTGAATGATTGTCACATTTGTATGTTTAGATAAGTCATTTATTTTGGACAGTTGTCACCCTACCAATATTCTTGTAAGAAGAACAACTTTTATAAGTTATCTCTAGATAGTATGTAGATTTTTAAAGCATATGCTCTTTTATGAAGATTAAATGACTAAGTGACTCTTTGGAAAATGTTCTCTAAGTTATTACTTGACATTCAAGATGCCCAGTAAACTCTCCTTAGTAGGTGGCTTGTTATTATTTTTAATACTTTAACATTTATTGCTTTGTCTCTAGATTATTTTTCTTAAAGAAAATGATAGCAAACCATTATTGAAGGATTAGATATTGCCAGCCCTTTCAAAACACAGCTATCTGTGAAATCTTTTTAGTGAAAAGAAGAGGTGTATTTCTAGAGAACCAAATGGTTGTCACTGAAAATGCCTCTTAAGGAGCTTTGTGCTGTCAGTAAAGAGCCACAGTTGATTCATTTCCTTTACTCTTTCCACCTTACTCTCACTTCTGACTCCAGAGCTGATGTAAATAAGTAACCGTTATTTTATTTACGTTTTATATTACATAAATAAGTAAAATAATTAAAATAAGTAAAATATGCCCATTTTATATTATGTAAGTAAAACGTAAATTATTTAAAAATCAGCTCTATTAATCATTTCACATTATATACAGACATCACAATATCACATTATATACTATACAATTTTTATTTGTCAATTAAAATGTGTTATTCTGAACTATTATGGACAGTGGGGGCATTTTTACCTTAGGCTACATAGGACATAGTGTGGTAGATCCCAGTCTTGCTCTTCATATTTGCCTACTTGGACTGCTTTCTAGATGGAAAAAAGCTTCAAGAAGTAACCTCCATTCTTAATGTCTGAAGTGGTTAGGCCAATAATTTTTAAGCTTTTATATCTCAGATCTAATTACAAGTGATCACTCCACAAAAGAATCTGCTTACTATCATTTCCATCACAGTACAAATGCTTTTGTACTACGGGCTTTTTCTTATATCCATTTATGATAAGTTTTAGTGATATGCAACAGTAGTATTCCTGGATATAAAGTTAATTGCTATTACTTAAAATATAAAATACTTAAATTCATAGTTGCAAACACACTTTATTCCCTCAGTAATCATAAAAAGAGGTCATGAAAAAGTGTAGTCAGGACATTTAAGTATGTTACAATTTTTTCAGTATTAAAGATCCCTGTGCATAAATCTTTGTCCAAGTTTAGATTATGTTCTGAGGATAGAGTCCTAGATCTGAGTCAAAAGTTATAAATATTTTTTAATACGTTTGTATACATTGCCAGATGGCATTTCACAAAAGCTGTATCATTTTTATATTCTCAATGCCTCCTGTTGCCCATCTCCAGATATTCTTATAAGTGTTAGGTATTTTTACTTTTAAGGATCTTTGTAGTGGCATCTCATCTTATTTGGAAGTTTCAATTGTGAGATTTGATTATTTAAATATATTAGCTATTTTTATTTTTTTATGAATTGTGTTTAAGTCTTTTGTCTATTTTCATATGAACTTGAAAAAATATTTTAGAAACCAGTTGTTTTTCTAGACAGTTGCTAATCTTAAATAAATCTCTCTTGCTACTCATTCTTGGGCAAAATCAAGTTGCCCATATGGAAAAAATAAATGGTCCAATGCTATTCATCGTTTACAACTCAGTCCTTGTGACTCTAGATGTGAAGGTAAAACATTTCATGTTTTGCCTTCAGAGTGTTCTCTGAAATATGACAGTATCTGCCAGGTTGCTGGTTACACAGGTTTCTTGTCCCTAAGTTATAGTGGCTTTGAAGAATGACTAAATCTCTTTGAGGTGATTTCCAAGTCTCCATGATGAATTTCATAATGCAGTGAAGCTCAGGTTTCAAGTCAGAGCATCACAAACTTTTGTCCCAGTTGTGGCTACAACGGTAATTTCAGTTAATTACGTTTGTCATAAATGTGCCTTACCTTCCCTGGCTTGTGTGTTTATATATGTACATATATATGTGAATGTATTATGTATACACCTATATTTAGAGAGAAGCTTTTATCTCTTTTATATTCAAAGGTACTAAAGTTTTTCTTTAGTTTTCTTCCAATATATTTACACTCAAAGTCTTTCTTAAAACACTTAGCATTATGGAAACTCTAGACAGCCTCTGTGCCTTACTCTCAGGGATGTACAAGAAACATTGTTCCAGTGATGGAAAGATTCTTACCTAAACCTAGTGAGAGGAGAAAGCATTTGAAGACTTCCCTTGACTTTGACAGTTTATGGAAGAATGAAATCAGTGTCTGCCTGGCAGTGGAGTTGGCATTTGCACAGCTTCATGTAATTTGTGACTAGTCTATATATTGATTTAAAATAATGTATCCTATTTCTGATTCTAATAGCAGCAATTCACAGCTGGGTGGTAGCAGTATTTCTGTAAGGAATTGTTCATCTTTCTCTGCAGAAGAGTTGATAGGTTATGCTCTTGCACCATTTCCACATGTGAGCAAGTCAATGTCATTACATCAGTTAGAATGTGGCTTTGATAGTATCTTTCTAATTTTGTTCATTTTGAGGATAACCTTGCCTTGCCAGTGATATTTTACACATCTTCCTTTCATCCTAGAGACATAACTTTTTCACATAGTGTCTCATAACTTTCTAGTGAATGATAACTATAGTGTTTCCATTCTACAAACATAGAGACTAAGAGTCATGCGCATGCCTTGCCAGACAGACATCTCAGTTACAACACTATGCCTAGCTACCAGGTTTTCTTCTTCCCAGAAGTAGCCTTTCTCTAAACCACATTGCATTGCCTTACTTAAAAACGGTAATAACTGGGACCAGTCATCTTCTTGCATTTTCGTAACAGTTCTGAAAAGACCTGCCC